TTTGAAAATCGTGTATAGTATTTTGTGAAACATCATTATTGGTAAAATTTTCACAAATTGCGTTTAGAAATGTTGAGAATGCGGCGACCTTGTTTCTTAATTTTGTGTGTTTCGATGTTTGGATTGGTGATGTACTTTGAGCTTCTGTTCTTTCTAATATAGATAAATAAGTATATATTATTGCAAAAACTTCGTTGGTGAATATCGAGTTTGCTCTCTGTGAGTTTTGATATTGTATGCTTTTGATATATTCTGTGAGTACATTTGAAAAATCTAAATCAATATCGTCTGTGTGAATAATATATTTATTATATGCTGTTCTTGGTGTACTGATTTCTATGGTGTAGATTCCGTATTTTTATGTTAGGTTACATATTTCCTTTAAATAATGTTCTATAATTTTTCTTTTGATTTTTATATCTGGGAATTCTGATTTGCATGGGCTGATTCCTGGTTCAAACAAATTTACGAGTAAATTTTTGCAAACTCGTGTTTTCCTCTATCATTTAGTGAATTTATAACAAAGGTAAAAACTGTTTCTTCGTCTGGACTCTCGTCACTTTGAGTGCTGCTCATTTTTTTGTTGGATAACTGTTATATATTTATTAATATGTCTAATTGGTTGATTCCATTTGTATAGGTGTACTGGTTTGTGTTTATATTTCTTTTTTATTCTGTTTTTTCCTTTTTTTGATGAAATTGAAGTTGTTTCTGATTTGGAAAATATACTGGATCCCGGGTTGGATAATTTTTATTTGTTGTGTCTTCTATTTTGTAAAGTACTTCTAGACTAGTGACTTCTGATTCGGAAAATGCATTTCTGTGTTTTGTAAATCTTTTTCGTGTTATTTTTGTCTTTGTTTACTTAGAATTTTTCTTTTTAGTGTTTGTCGTTTTGTGTGAATGTACTCAACTGTTTGTGTATGTGTGATTTTACAAGATCTTTTTTTTGATTATTTATTTTGCAGTTGTGTATTACGATTGTTTGTTTTTTCCCTAGTTTTTTTAATGACATAAGGGCTAGGATGATGCACGCAAAATTATTTTTAGTGATTTTAATTTCCTAGACTGTTAGTCCTAACGATTTTTTGGTTAGCTTAACCTGGGTCTTTTGTTCAGGGTTGGAGAGAAAAGTATATCAATTCCGAAGAATGAGTTTTACTTTCTCGTGGCTAGTCTAAGCTAAGGTGTTAACTTACTTAATCTTACTTAGGTGTAGTGATTGTGTTCAAGGGTTGGAGAATAGTATATCGATCCACAAGGTTCAGGTATAATTAGAACGCGAGTAGTTCTTTCGATACTATTTTTAACTTACAAAATTTAAGATTTATCCTGGGTCGTATAAAACGAGGGGTCAAGTGAAGGATGAATAACCGAAGTTCTTCACTGTTTAGCTTAATTTGAATGTTTAGTATTTAAAAAATTTCTATTAGTCCTGGGTCTTTTGAAAAGGTTGGGTAGTGAATCGACGTTTGAGGTCGTTAGACACTTGATAAGTGGGTGGGGGAGAACAAAATTGTTCTTTTTGATCCAAGGATAAGCCTTGATGATCAGAATTAAAATTAGAAAGGAGAAAATTAAATTAGATGCAAGGAAAGCCTTGATGATCTGGTTCAAGATTAAATACAATTGAGTTTAAAGGATATGAAATTTAAGATAAACTTTTTGAAATAACTGAAATTTGTTAAATTTTAGTTTTGGTGAGTTTAGTTGATTTATGACTGCTGTTATGTTTAGATGATGAAGCTGGAACAACAGGATGATTTACATTTTACTAACAATTTATTGTCATGATACTAATTTTTACTTTTCTTTTCAATAAATATTTTTTCAAATATGTTTTATATAGTACTGCAGAGTTGGAAGGAATGATTTGAGATGTTTTTATCAAGCGTTATTGAACAATAATAATTTTATTTAGCGCCAGTAATATTCAATGAAGATTTTCTTCAAGGATTTCATGTTTGCAAATGAAAATCTAAATTCTTTGCTAGTAGGATTCTAAATATAAAAGTTTGTGTTGGCTTTTGCCGTACGACCATGAAACTAAATGGTAAATTTTTTTTGTAGTCGTATGTCGTCTCTTGTCCGAGGTCTTTTTCCAATAACGGATAGTTCTCGTATTGTACGGAATAGCGGCTCTGATCTATTGAGTCGTAGAGACCATTCAATTAAGTTATTGTCGTGTAACATTTTGAAAATGTTTTGTCTAATTCTAACCTATTTTTGGTTAATTCTAAGCTCATTTGTTTTTTAAGGTTTTTATTCGAGACTTATGGTCGCATCAGATGAGTTATATATGAGGTGTATAACTCATAGAGTAATTTCGGATAGGGTACACCGTCTGCTCGTCACACTATCTTATTTTCGGCCGAATAGATTCGTGCAACTTCTTAGTCTAATACCGATCCTAACCTTACTCTTATATCTACTAGTTTCAGGGTGTTTAAATAGTCTCTGCTAGGTTTAATAGATCTAGAGTAAACTGGTTTTATTGCGGCTGCTGAAGTTCTCGAGGAGAGGCAACTAATTTCTAAGTTAAATTCAAATCTCTCTGGTGCTGAAATTACAAGTAATTTCAGCACTTACAAATAAATGGGTTTTGTTAGTTAGATGATTATGATTGGTTAATATTAAATATTTTACAGTGGTAAAATATCTAATTTATATAAAATAATAAAATGTAGTTTAGATCAGGTTCCAGTATACTTTTGCTTTTAAATTCAACATTTCTGATTTATTTCAACATAGTCTAGTTTCAATTCAATCAGACTGTTTGCAGTATACACCTTCAATTTCAACGCGCCATTTTCCGGTTTTTAATCATTTTTAATTGCTTTTTTTAAATTTAATTTCAACAGCTGTGTTTGAATTTCAACGAGCCTGCTCGATGAAAGCATCAGCAATATTTCAACATAACAACATTCATTTCCTCAGTTGTATTTCAAAGTAGCCCCAAATTATATGCTGTTTTAAAAACATGTGTTTGTAAACCATCTCTTTTTAAACAGTATTTATAAGATCGGAGCCTTTTTTTCTATAGACAGTTTTAAAAATGCCAATCTGATGTTACACTTGATTCAGCTCCATGGTTTTTTTTTGGTTCACGTTTATACAATCCTGGCTTAGGGCAATCCCAAAAATTTGTTTATAAAAAGCACTTTTTCAAGTCTTTTTTTTTAATTGGGTTAAATTTGGACGAAAAAATATGATGATACTAGAATTTGACCTGAACCTTATCATCCTTTATTTTTGCAAAGTTAGGACCGTAATGGAAAAATTAAAACGAGGCACTTTTTTTTTAATTCAGTATGAACCAAACAAAAAGAGTCAATTGACTTCGAACTGCTACGGAATCCACAACAAAACAAAAGTGCCGACAAAATTTACGCTACAGGTATTTGTACGCGGAATCCACTGAAATTTTGTTAGTGGAATCCACTTACATGTTAGAACATATTTAAAGGCTTGTCTATCGAATCCAGGACATACAGACTCAAAATTGTGCGCCTATCCAGTGCACTGTCTGGCTTCATAATGAACCAAATGGAAGGAGGCACTTTAAGGATTTCATTGTGGGTCTAAGCTTTTCAAAAAAAGCTTTCTGAAACTTTCTGTTAAATTCTGAGCAATTTTTGTCCTCAGTATTTGTCCTAAAGTCAACCCAGTTTGGGTAAAACAAATTCGAAAACTGCAGCTTGAATAACTTGTTCGTTTGATATATATCACAAGTGTATGCGCCTGTTCAACTCCAAATGCAGTAAAAATGCAAACTGTCATCAAAATGTGGCAATTTTTAACTGCCCATACCAAAAGAATTGCATATATGGGTTCAATTTTTGATGAAATGAGAGATGACTGAGAGAAGTGTGTTTTGAAATCTCCATGTATAGGCTATAAATAACTATCATTAACGAGCTTAAATTAATTTATTTTTTGAATTTGAAACGATTTTGTTGTGAAATAGTGTTAGGAGTGTTGAAATCAAAAATCAGTAAATAAATTGGATCTACTTAAAAATCTCCTCTTCCCAAGAAGGGTGGAAATTGTTAAGAAGATTAAGTCAGTCGAATTTTTGACCAATCATAATGCAGCAAAATTAGAATACTCAATAAAAGCTCTAGCTCTAGTGCTAATTTATTGTATTGGAATGGAGGTTTTCAGTAGAGTATATCATAGAGGCTGGGGCAGCGGCGCATCTAGGATTGTGTCGAGGGGGGTGGGGCGAACTTTCAAAAAAAAATTAAAAATTTATTTTATTTTCTCATAGATCATTGTAAAGACCCTAATTAGACAAAAATTTCTGCGCCGCCGGCAAATTTTTGAAAAAAAACAGGCCAAAAAGGGCGTTCAAAAATAGTATATTTTGGCGCCAAAGGCTCCTTTAGAAAAGTTTTAGAGTAAGTCAGCCTTAATGGATATCTCAAAATAGTACAAAAGGGGGACCCTTTGGGTTGGCAGAGGGTCGAAATCCTGAAGTGGGGTCGAATAACTCAATTTTCTTGAACGTTTTCTTTTTCAACAAAAAAATTGCATGAACCGTCTGTGATTAATGCTTTTTTGTTGTATGAGTTGTATTTTTTAATTCATATGTTTGCGTGAACCTTCTCAAGCTCAAATAACAAAAGCTTATGCAAAACTGGGAAAAAAATTTTTGGAGTGATTATTAGAATAACTATCTAGAAAAAAGAAAAAGCGCTACCTTAAAACTTGTGGTAATCTGGAATACGCTATGCACCCAAAAAACAAATAAAATTTCGCTCACAGAGCAAACATTTTGGTAAAATATTAATTCTTTTTCGCTAAATTGGATTTCGCTTCGTAAAGATTTTTTTTAAATGGACTTGTTCCTTTGATCACAAAATTTCCATGTAGAAAAACTAAGAATTTTACGGGCCATTGCTTTCATTTGCACTTTTCCACAGACTAATTAATTGTATGAACGAATTCTTGCCAAAAAAGCTAATTATGAGTTTAGTCATAATAGAGTAGATTCTCACGTGCGTGCCGTGATGTGTTCTGTCTTTCCGCTCTCTCTTCCTCTTCCAGAGTAGTCAGAGGGAGTCCCATTGCATCCATTTGGACGTCCGGAAGCGAGTTGACATCATTAGCTATGGAGGGGGGCACTTGTTCGCG